TGTCATTCTTGGGATACAACAGGTCAGATAAACCAGTGGCAATGCAGTGCCAGTTCATGAGAATCAATAATGTTTAATTGCTACATAGCTAAGGGGAGCAAATAACGTCTGGATTTGGCTCTCGGGCTTTGGAAAAGGTCCGTGGCTTGGACACTGTGTACATGGACTGCAGATTCCTTGCACATTCCCACCCTCTACTCCCAAAGCAGGGTTGTGAATGACACATTTTTCCCTCTCGAGCACTCATCTGCCAATGGCCACTTGCACTGTTCAGGCCTCACTGCCTGCTGATCACGTGTTGGCCCCATTCCTTCCATGCACAGCTGGACAGGAGATGGTTGTAGCTGGCTCTTGAATTTCTAGCCTCTAAACAAAGTCCTATTGTTGAAGGAAGTAACTTGATATGGGTTTGCAGGTTCTCCTGTTATTTGTGAAAGAATAGCCAGTGTTACCCACTCCCTGCTGTTGGGCTACCAAGGGATGGCGAATATTTTCGAAGAGCACTGGCTCAGCTATACTGGTTGGGAATGTGCTGTGTCTATGACATGCTTTCATGAGCTAGCACCATAGGGCCCATGCAGGTGTCCTGGTGCACAGGTACTGATGGCTGTAAAAGCTTGGGCAGTGTCTCTTGCACAACAAGGCAAGAAAGTGGCTGGGGCAAGACTCGGTTGTGGCGACAAGACTGCCACAAGAAAAGAAAAATGAAGCACCAGGCCCCTGTGCAGCTCAGGCAGGCAGGCAGGCTCCAGGGGAAAAAAAAATAAGATCAGGCTCGCCACTTTTTCCTTCTGTGGAACCTGCCTTCCCGGGCTGCTGCCAGGCTCCCTGCACAGTCTGCCTGTACGGCTCCTGAGTTTCACGGACCCAGTGCTTCCCTCTGTGGCAGTAGGGTAGGAAACTAAAACTCCTTGGAGATGTTTTACTTTGCAGCACCCCAAAGTCATTTGCTGCGTCCCAAAGTTATTTGAGGTGCACGACACCACCAAATGTGTTACAGAGGCTGGAATTAATGCGCAATATGCCGCCAGATGTGCAAACAGCAATGCCATTAAAGCAGTGCAAAAGGCATTTAGCCCGCTTTAAACGCGCTAAAAAGTATCATCTACAAACTGCCAGGACTTTCTGTAATAGCTCATTTTATATAGGGAA